AATTACAGGCATGAGCCACCGTGCCCGGCCTGTTTATTTTTATTTGTTTATTTTTTTGAGACTGAGTCTCACTCTGTTGCCCAGGCTCTAGTACAGTGGTGCGATCTCAGCTCTCTGCAACCTCCACCTCCTGAGTTCAAGCAATTCTCCTGCCTCAGCCTCCCGAGTAGCTGGGATTACAAGTGTGTGCCGCCCCACCCGGCTATTTTTTTGTATTTTTAGTAGAGATGGGGTTTCATCACGTTGGCCAGGATGGTCTCGAACTCCTGACCTCAAGTTATCCACCCACCTTGACCTCCCAAAATGCCATGATTACAGGGGTGACCCACTGCGCCCAGCCAGTTGGTGTATTTAGACCATTGACTTTGAAAGTGATTAACTGATGTAGTTGCATTAATGTCTACCATGTTGTTCTTGTTTTTTTTTTTTCCTATTTTTTTCTTCCAGTCGTATTCTCTTGGTGGTTTTATTTTAAGAATATTATTATTATTATTATTTCTATTTTGAGATAGGGTCTCTATGTTGCTCAGACTGAAGTGCAGTGGCAGAATCATAGCTCACTACAGCCTCGAACTGCCAGGCTCAAGCGATCCTCCTGCCTCAGCCTTCTGAGTAGTTGGGACAACAGGCACATGTCACTACACCTGGCTAACTTTTAAATTTTTTGTAGAGCTAGGGTCTTACTATGTTGCCCAGTCTGGTCTTGAGCTCCTGGCCTCAAGGGATTCTCCCACCTTGGCCTCCTAAAGTATTGGGATTACAGGGGCCAGCCACTGTGCCTGGCCTCTTTGTGGTCTTAATTCAGCATTTTATATGATTGCATTTTCTCTTCATTAGCATATCAGATATAATTCTTTTTCGTCCCACTGTTTTTAGTGGTTGCTCTAGAGTTTGCAATATATATTTACAATTAATCCATATTCACTTTCAGATAACATTATACTGCTTAACAGGTAGTTTGAGTATTGATAATAACAAAATATTCCTAATTCCTCCCTCCCATTCCTTGTATCATTGCTATCATTCATTTCACTTACATATAAGTATATATAAGCATATATGTGTGTCTATATGTAGACACACACCCTCACATATATATGCTTATACATACACGTAACCATACATAATTGAATACGTTGTTGCCATTATTTTTCTGAACAGTGTGTTATTAGACCAATTAAAAATTAGAAAAATAAAATTTTTGTTTTACCTTTACTTATTCTGTCTTTGATGCTCTTCCTTTCTTTGTAGATTCAAGATTCTGACCTGTGTATTTTTCTTCTCTCAAAATAACTTTTTAAAAAATTTCTTGCAAGGCAGGTCTACTGGCAATAAATACCTTCCATTTTTGCTTGTCTGAGAAAGTATATCCCTTTCGTGTTTGAAGGATAATTTCTCAGGGTACAGAATTAGAGATTGATGGTTTCTTTCTTTCAACTCTTTAAAGTAGTTCACTTCACTGCCTTCTTGCTTAGTGGTTTCTGAGGAGACGCCAAATGTCACTCTTTGTTTCTCTGTGAGTAAGGCGATTGTTTTCCTCTCTGGTTTTTCTTCAGGATTTTTTTCTTTATCTTTCATTTTCTGTAGTTTGAAAGTGATATGCTTAGGTGAAGTATTGGTTTTGGCTTTTATTTATTTTTTCCAAGTACAGCCGTATTGCGGTAGGCCTTTATCTTATTTGGTGCTCTGTGAGCTTCCCGGATTTCTGGCTTGTTGTCTGAATTAATTTGGAGAAATTCTCATTCTGTTGCTTTCTGTTTGTCTTCTCTTTTTGATGTCTCTGTTATGCAGATGTTATACATTCTGTAGTTGTCCTGCAGTTTTTTGAGATCGTTTTTTCATTCTTTGTTGTCTTTGCATTCAGTTTTAGAAGTCCATCGGCATATCCTGGAGCTCAGAGTCTCTTTCCTGTGCTGTGTCCAGTCTACTAAGGAGCCCAGCATAGACATTCCTCACGTGTTACAGTTTTTGATCTCTGGCGTTTCTTTCTGATTCTTTCTCATCAGTTCCATTTCTCTGTTTACATTGCCACTCTGTTCTTGCATGGTGTCTGCTGTATCCATTAGAGCTCTTAGCATATTCATCATAATTGTTTTTGATTTCTGGCCTGAGTATGCCAACATCCCTGCCATATTTGGTTCTGTTGGTTCTGATGCTTGCCTTGTCTCTTCAAACTGTGTTTTTTTGCCGTTTAGTGTGCCTTTTAATTTTTTCTTGTTAGCTGGACGTTATGTACCAAGTAAAAGAACTGCTGTAAACAGGCCTTTCATTATGTTGTGGTAAGATGCTGGGGAGGGAAAGTATTCCATAATTCTGTGGTTCGGTCTCAGTCTGTCAGTGAGCCTGAGCCTTTAGACTGTGCACTCCACAAGTGTTTCCCAGGTTTTTCCTCCCATTAGGATGGACAGCGAGGCTAGAGGGGGCTGGAGTTGGGTGTTTCCCTTTCCCCAGTCTACTTAGGCGCTGATGAAACCCCAGCAGGGTTAGGTTTTCTTGAGGGCGTATCTAAGAACAAAGTGCTCTGTTGTATTTCAAAATGACCCCTTTCTCCTCCCCATACTGGAAGCCCAAGGGGATTTTTCTCCATTATTTGCTGTGAGAACTTGGTCGTGCTGGAGGTAAAACTCACAAAAGCATGGGACCCACCTGTGACTGGATCCCCTGGAGTTTTTAACTCAGACTTTTCCACACTGAGCCCGCGGCAGCTCCTCAGTTACATGTTAGGTGTTCCTTCTCCCGCGGCAGCTCCTCAGTCACACGTTAGGTGTTCCTTCTCCCGCGGCAGCTCCTCAGTTACACGTTAGGTGTTCCGTCTCTGCTGCTTGCTGTGGAGGTTGCTGCTTGGGAGTATATCCCCAGTAGATTAGGATTCTCTGTGTTTGCCTGTCTCTCCCGTTTTAGAGGCAGCAGTTTATCCTGTTACCTTCTCTTACGGATCTACGAAGAGTTGTTGATTTGTCAGTTTGTTCATCTTTTTACTTGTGGTCAGGATGGAGTGGCGACTTCCAAGCCCTTTACACGCAGAACTGGAAGCTAGAAGTTGTAACTGCCTTCTTTATTCAAGATTAAGTTGCTTTACGGATGAGACAGCCAGTTTTCCACATTATGTTTCTTTTTAATCTTTGGAAGTGTTGTATATGAAAAGCAGTTATCTCGCTTTAAGTGGCATTTGTCATTTTTTTTTTCCTATTGGGGTATTTGTATTTTAACTTAATTTTATAAGGTTTTTATGTTATGGAAATATATTGATCTTTATATATGTTTTAGGCTTTAATGTGTGTATGAGCTTCCTAGGTTGCCAGAGCAAATTACCACAGGCATGCCTAAAACAACAGAAATTTATTTCCTCACAGTTACGGAGGCCAAAAGTCTGAAGTCAGGGTGTTAGCAGGATGGTTCTCCCTCCTAAGTCTCTCAGAGGAGAATCTTCCTGGTTCTCCCAGCTTCTGCTGGCTCCTGGTGTTCCGTGGCTTGTAGCAGCAGCACCACCCACATCTCTCTCTGTGTGTTCATGCGGCCTTGTCCTCTGTGTCTTTGTCTGAAATTTTCTTCTCTTGTGTCTGATGCAAACATTGGTCATTGTGACCAATCCAGTATGGTCTTGTCTCAAGATCTTTAAGTTAATTACATCTGTAAAGACTTTGTTTTAGAATAATATCACAATTTATAGTTACCAGGCTTAAGGCTTGGATATATCTTTTTGAGGGGACACAATTCAGGACATTAGAGTGTTATACTTAGAAGATGTTATTCACTGAAAAATAAAAGACAATCCATCTGTATTTTTTCCTAGTATTTTTATATCTAAGTCTTTAAGTCATCTGAAATTTGTTTTGATGTTTGTTTATTTATTTTATTTATTTATTTTTTGAGACGAAGTCTTGCTCTTGTCCCCCAGGCTGGAGTGCAGTGGCGGAATCTTAGCTCTCTGCAACCTCCGCCTCCCGTGTTCAAGTGATTCTCTTGCCTCAGCCTCCAGAGTAGCTGGGATTACAGGCGCCCGCCACCACGCCTGGCTAATTTTCGTATTTTTAGTAGAGACGGGGTTTCACCATGTTGGCCAGGCTGGTCTTGAACCCCTGATCTCAGGTGATCCGCCTGCCTTGGCCTCCCAAAGTGCTGGGATTACAGGTGTGAGCCACCACGCCTGGCCTTGATGTTTATTTTTATATAATAAGTTGGCAAAGCACCCAGTTAATAAATGGTGGCACTAGGATTTGAACCTATGTCTTTCTTATTCGAAAGTCATCATTTATTTAGAATGACCTCCTTTTAGTGTTGTAACTCTCAGAAACTGTGCCTTATCAGGTTGTTCTTATTGCTTGTCTTATTATAGCAGAAAGGACTGCTGTTAATAAGTTTCACTGGCATGTGATACCATGGTGGCAGCCAAACGTCCACAAACAGTATTGAAGACACTTGAGCCCCTTTTCAGCAGTTGTTATTGTCGGAAAGAATAAGAAGTGCCGCTCGGAAAAATGTTTTGGAGAGCATAGTTTGAAGGCACTGGATAAATTTGCTCTGTCTGATACAAATTTTATTGGACTGGCCAGGGACATTTGTAGTATAAATTGCTTTACTTCTATTAAAAGATATTAATATCAAGGGCTGTTTATCCATATTAATTTTATGAGGCTAGTCACACTAATATAGGCTTACCATGTTTGTAGAGACTTTTACTGGTAATGATAAAAGTTGAGCTGACAGCGTTTCTATCATCCTGTAGTGTAATGCACACATAGAGCCCACTTTTGGTATGTCAATCTCTTGATGTGTTTCCCATGACCACATCACAAAGTCTGGTTTTGGTAAGTTTCTTATCAATGGTTCATATATTCACATATAGTCTAGAATACAGTGAATACTGTGTGTTCTGTTCCTTCATATAATAAACATTTTGTATCAACTGTATAATTTTTCTCATAAATTTTAAAATAAGTTATAAAAAACAAGACTTACTGTTGTTCTGTGAAGAAATCTGATTTTTTTTTTTTTTAAAGGAAAGTACAAGTAAAGATGTTCTGGTGAAGACCCTCAGGGCTACTGACCTGAAACTTAACTCTGATAATTTTCATGATGCAAATGCCAATAGAGGTGGTTTTGACCCGACTGACCCTGTAAAACAGGGAGTGGAGTGTCCTCATCAAAATAAGACAGTTTTGCACACGGATGGATGTTTAGACACTGAGACTCCTACAGTGTCCATTCAAGAAGATGTGGATGTAGCCTCTTTGAAGCCTATTAGTGACAGTGGAATTAATTTCAGTGATGCCCTTTGGTCACCAACTTGTGAAAGGCGAACATGTGAATGTCACGAGTCCATTGAAAAGAATAAAGACAGTAAGTGGACTTTTAAAAAAATAGAGTGAAAGAAAGAAATGTTCGTACATCTTAATAGGATATATTTTCATGTGAAATGTGCCAGTCTTTCCTATTGAAATATTTTAGTGTTTTATAGTTTAAACAAAATTTTAAGTCTACTAGTACAGGGAGGATTGCTCAGAAGCGGTATCTTTTCTCAGAGATCTGGTGAAAACGTACCTTTCTAGCTAAGTCTTACATTCTTTTCCTTTATTCCTCATTCTCCATTATAGATTTTTTGTGAGTAAGGCTGGCTTGCCTTCCGTCAAAGAGATACTTTTCTTTTGGGGAAGTGGTTTTTCCTTTTTCTAACTAGCTTTGGCAGACTTCAGTACTGTTGGTGACTAAGGTAGTCATCTAAATTTAAAAAAAATTGAGAATGTTTTATCATTTTAGTTGCTACATGTGTCATTTGATATTTTGGGAATTTTATTTTTTAGAAACAGATCTCCCACAGAGTGTGGTCTATCAAAATGAAGAGGGTAGGTGGGTCACAGACCTTGCCTATTACACATCTTTTAATAGCAAACAAAATTTAAATATGTCTCTAAGTGATGAGATGAATGAAGACTTCAGATCTGGTTGTAAGTATATGGATAAATGTTTATTATAACATTTTCACTGTTTCTGATCTTTCTAAGATTACTGTCTATTTGTTGGTCAGTCACATCAGATCCCTTCTGGACTATCACTGTATTCTGGAAGCGCTTCACTTGTTTTTATAGGACCTCAGGTTTTAGCCAGTCTTAATCATTGTAGAATGAGCCGAGCCATTTCCTTAAGCAAAGCCAATGAGTGAGAATAGCATTTGTATACTGCTGTGTAGACACCTTAGTATTGCAGGGCTGGAAGGGACTTCAGGTTTTGCCTGTCCCTTTAAAATTTCTGACCCGAGCAAAGGAAATGTCCTGATAAATCAGCAGTTACAAAAACCAATCCATGAAAGGTAGAAAGTGTGGTAGAAATGATGGAAGAAAAGTAACCAAAAAGATAATGAAATCTCAAGGGATAAAAGCGTTAACAGAAGCAGTTAGGTTGTTGATCAGCATCATCCCTGACAGTGAATATAGAAAGTGGTTTAGGTCTACACGACGCCAGGTCACGGGATTTGGAGCCGCAGCCTGTGAAGATGTTGTGCCGCAGCCCTCAGGGCTGAGCTCTGTTGTAACTGGAAGGAGCCGCGCTGCTCATGGGCCTGTCAAGCCTGGCCTTATTGTTCATAGGCTTGCGCCAGAGGAAGAAATTTTCCCACTTACTGCTTGTACTAAGCTTCTTTCAGAAAGTCTCCTGATGTGGAATTACAGCAATAAATGAGGTAGTATGCCAGTCCTTAACTGCTTATCAGCCCAGAATGATGAGACAGGAATGCAGTACACAGTCATCGGCATCGTGAGAAACTCAAACCAAAAGCAATGGAATTCAGAGAAGAAACAACCGTTGCGTGAGTAGGTAGCAAAAGAATAGGAAGCCACTTTTGAGGTAGAGTTTTCACAGGTAATCCTTTGCGGGCATGAGAAATTTCAAATGGAGAGAAAGCCCAGTTTGGAAGGGAATGAGATGGTGAAGTGTGGGCATGTTTGAGAAGGTGCATGGTCCAGTGTGGCCAGCCTGTATGGCAGGATAAAGGGAGGGTGGCCAGAGGCTAGGAGGTGAAGCTGGAGAGGTCAGTGGGCCAGGAGTGGATTGAGTTCTGACGACCTGCTTTCCAGGATTGAGGCTTGTCTGGAAAGCATCAGGACTCGTTGCTTGTGGAACTTGCTAGGTGAGTCTTTTGGCAGTCAGGGTCATTTGGGAGAGTTCTTAGGATGTTGTCGAAATCTAGGTGTCCCAGTGGAAATGAAAAGAGTAGCTAATGAAAGACGCAGAAGTAAAATGGTTGGGATTTGATGGCTGATCTCAGGGGATGGTAGAGAGGCAGGAAGAGAGGAGGGTCTGTGGTCTGAGTTAGCTGGGGCAATGGCGATACCGTTACCTGAGGCGGGGAGTCAGAAGAACGGGTAGATTTTGGGTGATTGTGGTTTGAGGCAGAAGTAGTCATTAGTGGAAATAGGGGTCAGAAGTGTGAAGCTGAGTTGCAGTTAGGACTTACTCAGTGATATCTTGATCTAAAAATGATGATGCAGACTGAATGGTGGATATTTATCACTTAAAAGATCATGGAATTCTCATGTGTTGCTGGTGGGAGTGTAAATTGGTACAGCCATTTTGGAAACCTGTTTGGCAGTGTCTTATAAAGGTGAACTTGATGAACTTCATACTTTATGACCTGATAATTCTATACCTGAGTACATACACAGCAGAATAGGGTGTACATATTCACCAAAAGACATACTAGAATGTTTATAGCAGCACTATTTGTATCAGCCCCTAATTCTCAAATTCGCATTAGCAGTGGAAGTTTCCAAGTCGCTGCGGAACCACCCTCCCCTCCCCCAGCCGTAGAATGGATTATGTTTATTCATACCCTGGAATATTAGGTTGCAGTGGGAATGAGATGTGAAGCTACATGCAACAGCATTGGATGAATCTCAGTAACGTGGAATGACGTGAAGCTGAGTGAGAACGCAGACTCTGTAGTTCTATTTGTGTACAGCTCGGCAGTGCAGTCCTGCAGAGCCAGCTGCAGGGCAGTGGTTACGTGTGGATGGGGAGGTAGCATGGGAAGCTGGCTCGGGTGATTTGGGCACTGACAGTGTTATGCTTCTTAATCTGTGCTGTTGGCTATGCAGATGTGTTCGGATTGTGAAAATTCCTTGAGCTGTACACTTCACCTCTCTATCGTAAAAAGTTTTTAAAAATTAGCAAACTGAGAATAAAAGATTTGTAATTCATATTATAGATTTAGAGCCCATTCTCCTAATATATAAACAGTTCTAATAAACAACAAGAAAAAGACCAACTACCTCAAAATTGGAAACAATTTATAGAAAAAGAAAAATGGTTGTTAAATGTACAACAAAAAATGTTCATTTTTACTGATGGAAAGAAATGCAGTGTAAATCCACCCAGTCATAGTATTTTTCAGTTACTTCCTTGGTAGTGATCCAAAAGTTTGGTAATAAAACTGTCTTAGCAAAGATGTGAGAGACACAGGTGTGCTAGTCCATTCTTGGCACAGCCTCTGGGTATGATGACATTGCAGCATCTAGCAGAGTTACACGTGTACCATCCTGTAACCGAGCAGTTCTGCTTCTGGGAATTTATTCTTCAGATACACTTGTACAAATGGTACATGATGTATGTGCAAGCTCATTACTTGCAGCATTGTCTGTAATAATAAGGTTGGAAGCAGTGTAGATGGACAAAATAGGGTATAAATTAAGGTGCATCCATACAGGGAAGCACCCTGTGGCCATACAGAATGGTAAAGGAGCTCTTTACTTACTGAAATGGAATGATCACCAAAATAAATTATGTAAAATCCACCTCCAAGCACATAAAGTATTGTAACATTTGTGTAGAAAGGTAGGAGAGGGGAGGATGTACATACAGACATTTGTAAAGACATACAATGGAAAGATAAAGCAAGATACTGACTACAGGAATCTCTAGCTACTTGAACTCAAAAATAAAAAATTCAGATAGATATTTCAGAAATATTTTAGCTATTGGTTGCATCTGAGGGCGTGGGAAACGAGGGTCAGGGATGGGGAGATAGTTTTCAGTGTATACCCTTGTAAGTCTTTGGTTAACTTTGAAAAGCTCTTTATTGTGGTATCATACATACACCTTTTAAATTTGAATTATTAGATGTATTACTATTAAAAAATAAAAAATGGTATTGGAAAGATTGAATGAAACCAACCTTGTGCTTAGGGAATGAGTGCTAGTCTGCTTGGAAAGGATGACTAGCGTGGGTGGGGAGGAAAGGGAGACGGGGAGATGGAAAGTTATTAAAAAGATTGGTGGACAGAAAAAGCTGATGGGTGCTGGGAGGGATGGACTAGATCCAGGGAAATAGGGGTGGAGGTAGCATTAATGAAATGGGAGCCTTTGTACTGAAAAGGAGAAAGGAACTTTAACTATGTAATAGAAGGAGATACTCAGAAGAGGAAGGTTGGAAAAAAGGGTGTAATCTTATAATGTCCAAGTCATTTTAAATGAAAATTTGCCTACTTACAAACTTTATCCTGCCTCGGCTGGGCGCAGTGGCTCATGCCTGTAATCCCAGCACTTTGGGAGGCCTAGGTGGGTGGATCATGAGGTCAGGAGATCAAGACCATCCTGACTAACCCACGGTGAAACCCCGTCTCTACTGAAAAAAAAAAAAAAAGCAAAACATTAGCCTGGCGTGGTGGCGGGCGCCTGTAGTCCCAGCTACTCGGGGGTCGGTGGGGGCAGCGGTGGGCTGAGGCAGAATGGCATGAACCCGGGAGGCGGAGCTTGCAGTGAGCCAAGATCGCGCCGCTGCACTCCAGCCTGGGTGACAGAGCAAAACTCCGTCTCAAAAAAAGAAAAAAGAGAGCCTACGGCCTCTTCTTCCCCGTGCCTGCCTTCCTCCTTGCTGATAGCTCAGCTCCGTCTATTCCAGGTGCTCCGTTGCTGCTGCTTGTGACCTGAGAGTTCAGCAGTGGGGGACACAAATGGGCTGCTTCCACGTTTGGTCTCGGAAGCATTCAGCACAAGAGGCTTGTTGTTTTAGGTGTGCCAAAGAATTGGCATAGATTCTCGTAAAATACGAAGTTCTGCTTTCTTATTGGCTGTGATTGATTTCTGATGAGTAGACAACATAGTGTTAATATAGATGTGTCTTCGAAGAATCCCTTACAGTTCAGAGAAAAAGCACTTGGGATTATAATAAATACTATTTTGAGCTGCTCGGTTAATTATTTAAAAACCAGGTGATATTTAACTCCTCAAAGTACGTTAAGTTTCTTTTGGGTTTTACCTTCCGTATTAGTTCGTTTTTATGCTGCTGATAAAGACGTACCCGAACCTGGGAACAAAAAGAGGTTGACTTGGACTTGTAGTTCCACGTGGCTCAGAATCATGGTGGGAGGCAAAAGGCACTTCTTATGTGTCGGTGGCAAGAGAAAAAATGAGGAAGAAGCAAAAGTGGAAACCCCTGATAAACCCATCAGATCTCCTGAGACTTATTCACTATCATGAGAATAGCATGGGAAAGACCGGCCCCCGTGTTTCAGTTACCTCTGCCTGGGTCCCTCCCACAACATGTGAGAACTCTGGGAGATCAATTCAGGTTGAGATTTGGGTGGAGACACAGCCAAACCATATTACCCTCTTCGGGGCCGAGTTTCCTAATTCCCTTCTCTTGGCTGTCAGATTTGGTTAGTTGGTCCTTTCATCTTTTAGGGCAGTGGTTTTTAACTTATCTTGCGTCATAGATTCCACAGTGAATCTTCATAGAAATATATTTTATGGAATGTATGATTTTGCATGTATTTTGAGGGCCTCATGGTTCTCCTGATGCTCATTCCTAGGTTCTATGCTGTAGGTTGAGAATGTGGTTTTTTTTAGGCTGGGCATTTTGGCTTATGCCTGTAATCCTAGTCCTTTGAGAAGCCAAGGTGGGTGAATTGCTTGAGCCCAGGAGTTTGAGACCAGGCAGGGAAACATGGCAAAACCCCATCTCTACCAAAAAATACAAAAATTAGCTGAGGGTGGTGGCACATGCTTATAGGCCCAGCTATTGGGGAAGCTGAGGCGGGAGGATCGCTTGAGCCCAGGAGGTAGAGGTTGCAGTGAGCCAAGATTGTGCCACTGCACCCCAGCGTGTGAAACAGAGCCAGACCTTGTCTCAAAAAAAAAAAAAAAAAAGTTTTTTGTGTGTGTGTGATAAGAAATGGTCACTTAACAAGGTGAAGAACTAGCACTGTTCTGACAGGCAGGAAGCCTCAGCAGTCTTTGGTGCTTTTCCTGAACGGAAATATCCTGTGTCTGCTTTTCTTTTGTCTTAGGTTGTGAATGTGGGATACAGTCTAGGTTCCCAAAGGAGCAGTGTGGATCTGATTGGTCCCTCATGGACACATGATAGTGGGGAGCCTCCATCATGTTTGGGCCATGAGTGGACTGTGCCCTCTGGGTCACCATTCACTTTTCTCCTTTCTGCTCCAACCCTGCATTGCCAGGCAGAGGCCCAGAGTACTGCAGCCAGGCAGTCTAGCATCTGGCTGGCAGACATTTCACCAACACATTTCAAGTTCTTGGCAATTCTGATGCCTCAAGCAGGGTCTTGGGCCTCCTAGTTTGCTACGAATCCACCACTCCCAGTTGTGTTTCTGGCCCTGGCCCTCTTTGCCCATTTGCCCCATCCCTCTGAGGCATTTCAGTGATGGTCTTCGGCCTGGAGTTGAGTGTGCTTAGGCTGGTGTTCCTTTCCCAGGGGGAACTGAGGTACTCGGCAGGAACCTTGAGGGCAGACATTAGGGGACTCCTAGTCTTTGTCCAGACCGGGGTTTCCTGGGTGGGTGGCAAGCGGGTCCTGGGGCACCCTTGCAGCCATCTTCATGACGAGCTTATAGAGGGCTTACCAGTCTGATGACTCCCGATGAAATTCCACCAGCATTCATGGACGAGTGCCTCAATGCAAGAGTGCCTAACTCTCCAAAGCAAAAATTAATTTTAGAAAGAAAAAGCTTTCATTGTAAAGCCTGTGAGTAAATTGGGGTAAGTTAGTGACACAATCAACTGCAGCAAGGTGTTCTTTAGCAAAAGTTTGACAACCGTAGACTTCAGCGTTTAATACAGATGCATCAATCATGAGTGCAAGCTTTTACATACTTGTTACAACTTTATTTCCTTAGTATTTCATTTTCCTAACTTGTGTCTGTATGCTAGTGTTTGTTTAGGTATTAGTGTAATTTATTTATATAAACGTATTCTTTTTAAGCTGAAGCATTTGATTTGATTGCACAAGATGAAGAAGAATTTAATAAAGAGCATCAATTTATACAGGTTTGTAATTATTTGTTTTATCCAAAATTTAAAATTTTTCCTGTATTAATGTAAGTGTAGGCAAAATGTTCATTTCTTTCTGAATATACAGTTAGTATAGAATTTCATATTTTTCTTATGGCTAGACAACTTCTGCTTTTTCCCTCATACTCTAAATTATTAATTGAAGATCATTGACATGCTGAAATACATCTTTAATTCACTTAAAATTGCTTTAATGGCATTAATGGATATTTCCATAGTTTATGTTTATTTTTTGAGACAAAGGCTTGCTGTGTCACCCAGGCTGGAGTGCAGTGGTAATCACAGTTCACTGCAGCCTCAAGCTTTTGGGCTCAAGTGATCCTCCTGCATCAGCCTCCTGTGTAGCTGGGATTGCAGGCATGTACTACCACACCTAGCTGTTTTTTTATTTTTTATTTTTCGTAGCGATGGAGTCTTGCTACGTTGCCTAGACGGGTCTCGAACTCCTGGGTTCAAGCAATCCTTCCATCTTGGCCTCCCAAAGTGCTAGGATTACAGGTGTGAGCCACTGTGCCGGGCTGTATTTCTATAGTTTTAAAAATATGTTTTAAAGTGAGGCAGTCCTACATCCTGTTTGTTTTTTATGAAGATTCTTATTTATGACAATCTTACTTCAGTCTTATTTTGAAGATTCAAAATTTATGACAGTGTTTGATGAAGCAATAGATGAAGATAACATTCTTATTATTTTTCAGATGGGGTCTCGTCATGTTGCTCAGGCTGGTCTTGAACTCCTGGGCTCACACCAGTCTCCCATCTTGGCCTCCCAGGTAGCTGGGATTACAGGAAAGTGCTGTCATGAGCAACTCAAGATCGTGTGTATTATAACTCAAGTGTTCAGAAATACTCATTTTCCTCTACTGGACTTCATTAGCTGTGGTAGCTGATTATGCTTCAGTTTGTCCAATTTTTTTTTTGTCTAGTTTTTAAAAAATTACTTTTTAAATTTTCTTGGTAAGCCTTTTTTAGTTTTTGTATATTAGGACAACAGAAAAGTGACTTGCTGGGGGAAAGAAACGAAACAATAACTTTCTCCCTAGGAAGAAAACATAGATGCTCGTAATGCTTCGGTCGCACTGGGCGATATGTCCTGGGGAGCTACAATTAATCACAGTCTGTTGAGGAAATCACATAGCACATCAGATTTGGATAAAGATGATGCCAGTTATTTACGTCTATCTTTAGGAGAGTTCTTTGCTCAAAGATCTGAAGCGCTTGGTTGCCTTGGTGGTGGTAACAATGTGAAAAGAGTAAGTATGGAATCTGCTGGGAGTACTCACAGTCACCAGATTTCAGATTTTGAGTATTATGATGGCAGAGTGACTTTAAAATGGAGATAGAACAGGATGGGACAGAAGAGTGGTAAAAAACTTAGGTTTCATCGTCAGTCAGCCCTTTACTGCAGTTCTAGCTCTGTGTTTTAGCTAGTTCTAGGACATTGAACAGTTTAACTCCTCTGTGCCTTAATTTCCCATTTCTTAATAGCACAGTTTTATCGGGCTTTGTAAGATTTAAATGTGATGGTTCATGTAAAGCATTTAGCGCTAAGCCAACGTGTGGTGAGTATTTAATAGTTGTTCATTGCTATTGTTATTGTTGGTTGGTGTGAAGAATTCTAAAATTGATTTTTAAAAACTGTTGTCTAAAGAGATGTTTTGAAATATAGAAGTGTTTTGATGTAATTAAATGTAATGCATGTACAATTAAAAAGACACAAGTTATTCAGGTAGTGATAAGTTCTATAAAGCATGAGTGAGGAGAGGGAGTTACTTTAGCTGTGCTGGTCAGGTTGACGTTTGGGGGAGGACATTGAGTTGGCATCTTAGTGATGAAAAGGAGGCAGCAGGCCGGGTACACTGGCTCACGACTGTAACCCCAGCACTTTGGGAAGCTGAGGTGGGTGGATGACTTGAGGTCAGGAGTTTAAGACCAACCTGGCCAACATGGTGAAACCCGTCTCTACCAAAAATATAAAAAATGAGCCGGATATGGTGGTGCGTGGCTGTAATCCCAGCTACTCGGGAGGCTGAGGTAGGAGAATCGCTTGAACCCGGGAGGTGGAGAGTTGCAGTGAGTCGAGATCACACCACTGCACTCCGGCCTGGGCAACAGAGTGAGACTCCATCTTAAAAAAAAAAAGTGTTGTTTTTGTAAGAAGAATTAAGACTTCTCCCTCCATTAGTGACCTGGCCTTTGTCTGTGTGCAAGCCTGGAGGCAGGAACCAGGGTGGCATATTGGAGGAATGAAAGCCGGCAGGCAGAGCTGCTCTGAGGAGCAGGGTGGGAGGGTATGAAGGGAGAATGGCAGATGATTCCAAGGGCCAGATCATGAGGGCTCCTAGTAGGAGGGGGTTTTATCTCAGATGAACTAGGGGGAAGTGCTTAGAGGCCCAGGACAACTTCGTTGTGGTGCTGGCCCATCCAAGTGCAGCAGGCTGCCACCATATGTCAGCTGCCCAGGTAGTGAGAGTCAGCAAAAGACAGAAGAGGGAAAGAAGCAGGCAAATGCTTAGGAAATGGGAGAGACGTGATGAAGGCTGGGGACAAGGATGACCTAGCAGAAGCAGAGAAAAGGGCAGTAATTCAAGATTTATTCTATAGAGTCAAAGAATTTGTTGATAAATTCCACAGAGGGAATTAGGGTTATTGGAGGGAGTGTTTATCAAAACTGGATTTCATTAAGAGTATGATTTTGAAATAATAGACGTAGTGTTAGAAGTCACAGCTGATTCATAGAACTTTGAAATTGAACTGTGGTCTTGCTCAGTGCAGTGAATTGAAAAATGAAAATAAATACTTTAGAAAGGTAGATTTTTCTGCTTGGATTGATTGTGACTTTGAGATGATGACAGAAGTTGAAGAGTAACTGAATTCCTTATTAATGGAATTATAGTAAGGAAAGGTAAGACGGACAGAGCACTGGATCATGAAAAACAATTGGTCTGTTATTTGGAATTTTTGTTTTGGTATAAGTAATGAAGTCTTATTTGCATTTAAGTTACTGAATCAAGGGAAGAAATTCCCAAGTGGAGACCAATAAAAAATTGAGTGCATTTACTGAGGTCACGTTTTAGTTCTGTCGGTGACTGCTGTGTAAGAAAGCCGAGTGGAAACTGCCTGCTCTTGAGCAAGCTCCTTGAATGAAACCTTCCAGAAATGTTCATGCACGTTGGTAGGAGCGTCCCTAATCCTAACACACATTTTTCAAGGATGTGTTTATTCTGTAAAAGAAAGTACATTCGTTGTAATTTCCAGGAAGCAGGAGTTTTTATCTTTTTTCTCATTGATGTGTCACTGATGATTAAACAGTGCCTAACACATAATAGGCGTTCAGTAATAATTATTGGAGGAATAAAGTATCATTTCTGTGTTGTTTTTTTGAGACAGAGTCTACTCTGTTGCCCAGGCTAGAGTGCAGTGGCTTGGTCTCAGCTCACCACAACCTCTGGTGCCTCCGCCCCCTGAGTACCTGGGACTACAGGCGCGCACCACCATGCCTGGCCAGTCTTTATAGTTTTAATAGAGATCAAGTTTTGCCAAGTTGGCCAGGCTGGTCTTGAACTCGTGGCCTCCCAAAGTGCTAGGATTACAGGTGTGAGCCACTGTGCTCGGCCTCATTTCTGTGTTGTTTTAATTTGAATTTCTTAGTAAGGGCAATTTATTTGACAATATGAGTTCTAATGATTAAAAGGTAGCTAGTATTAAGGAAATGAAAGGTTCTACCTGGACCTTTGAAGGTCATCTCTAGTAATTTGAGGTTAAGTGGGAAGAACAGTTTTTTGATGTCATTTAGCTGTGTTACCACTATTAGATAAAATAGTCTGGAATTTCTCAAAGCAGTTGAAAATCAAAGAAATAATTTACATTTAATTATTTTGTAGCCGTCATTTGGCTATTTTATTAGATCACCAGAGAAGACAGAACCTGTTGCCTTAATAAGAAAATCCGATGTCTCGAGAGGTGATTTGGAAAAAGAAATGGCTCATCTTAACCATGATCTATATTCAGGTAAAGGATTCAAAGAAGGGGCTTTTAGGAATCTTTTTTTTCCTTAAATGTGTAACTTAGGGGTTAAATGTGTGACCATGTTCTTTATGAGTGAAAATGTATATAACACTTTGTAGTTTCTCAGTGTTAGTTATAGATTTGATTCATATGTAACCTCATATATTCTTTTAAATCTAAAGTGGAAACAAGTCAGCCAAAATCTACCTAAATTTGTAAAAACCACAGGAAATAAAATAATTTCAAATGGGCTAATGTTGGCTGTTGAATTATTGAGTTAGTTAATTGTAGATATATTTATTATTTAGGTTGACTTTTAAAGAGATGTTTTGAGATTTAGACTGTGATAATCTGTGATAAATTTTTATGATGAATATCTATAATATTTTTAATCAGATGTTCTTGGTCAACTTAGAATTACCAAGCAGCTACTTTTTGTTAGTACAATGTCTTGTGCTACATATCACATAAACTTGTATAAGATAAGCTCCATTCCTTGAAGAGCCTGTATTCCAGTAGGGAAGTTGGGATGGGGGGTCCGTGTATACAAAGTCAGCTCATCTTCCGTTTCTCTAAAGATGCACTCACTTCTTTCTTTCTTTCTTTTCTTCTCTTTTTTTTTTTTTTTTTGAGACAGTCTGTCTTTTTTTTTTTGGAGACAGAGTCTTTCTCTGTCACGCAGTGGCGTGATCTTGGCTCACTGCAATCTCCACCTCCTGGGTCAAGCGATTCTCCCACCTCAGCCTCCCGAGCAGCTGGGATCACAGGCTCACGCCTCCACACCCAGATAATTTTTTGTATTCTTGGTAGAGACAGGGTTTCACCATGGTGGCCAGGCTGGTCTCAGACTCCTCAAGTGATCTGCCCACCTCAGACTCCCAAAGTGCCGGGATCACAGGCTTGAGCAATTGCACCCGACAAAGTAGTGCTCAGTTTTAAATTCAACTTATTGTATGTTCGTGAAATGTTTAAAGCTGAAAAATATTAAATGAGTTTATATGTGCATTTGCAAGGAAGATATTAAAATCAACAATCCTCCTTCAAAGTTTGGACTGTGCAGCATTGAGCCAAATTAACTGTGGTGTTGTTCTCTGTCCACGTGACTATACATTTAAACCGTTTTAGTGAAGGCAGCTGACATTTGGGGTACAAAGACATCTTCCTTGGTAATTAGTCATTTTGCCTGATCCTTATTCCACAGACTGTGTTTGCCAAATAGTGTATACTTATAAGTTGAATATTATATATTTCCTGCAGGAGATTTAAATGAACAGTCCCAGGCACAGCTAAGTGAAGGATCAGTTACACTACAGGTTGAAGCAGTGGAGAGTACTTCACAAGTGGATGAAAATGATGTGACGTTAATGGCTGATAAAGGCAAAACAGAGGTAGCTTAAGCCTTTCGTAAGGAAATCTAAGATTGTCTTGTTGTAGTTCTTATACAGGATCAAGACGAGATCACCTGTGAAAAATATATGCAGTTTAGCATGTTTTCTTTCCTGGCTTCAGATTTCTTGCAAGTGTCCTTTAAATTTTTATTTTGAAGTTTTTGTTGTGATATACACACAGATGAGTTTATAAAACAGATTTGTAGTCAATGAATGAATGATCACAAGGCATACACTTGTGTACACCTCAGATCAAGAAAGAACATTGCCAACAGCCCAGAAACAAGTTTTTTTGCCGCCTCCAGGTACCTGACCTTTAACCCTGTATTAATTTTATCTGATTCTGAACTTCACGTAAAAGAAACCGTGTGGCATGTGTTCCTTTTCTTTGACTGTTTTCACCTCACCGTACGTTTGTTTAGATGAGTATAATAGAAACTTATTTTTATTACTGTATGGTATTCTGTTATATGAATGTTCTGTTGCTTTTACATCCATTTGTGAACATTTGGGATATTTCCACTGCTGGACAATTAAAAAACAATGCTCCCTGAACAGCCTAGTACCTGGGAAGTGTGCACACAGTCATGTGAGTTGTGTGTGTATGTTGTAGGGTTTGCGTAACTTCACTTCAGTGGTTTTGACAGTTTTCCAGAGTGGTTGTACCATATAGATTTGTTCAAGAGTGTGTGCTTCCTGTCACTGCACATCCTCGCCAGCACCTGGCTTTACTCGTTATTCTGGTGGGTGCACAGTGGGGCCTTCTTGTCTTCATGTGCATTTCTCTGATTACTAAGGAAGCTGGTTCTTGCTCATGTTTGCTGGTCATTTGGAGGCTTATTTTGTGAAGTTCCTGTCCAAGTCTGTTGCCCATTTTTCCAATGGACAGTTTGTTTTATTTGATTTATCGGTGTTCTTTACATTGGATAGGAGCCTTTTGTCAGTGATGAGTGTTCCATGTGTCTTCTCCCAGTCTGTGGCTTGCCTTTTCACGTTTTTGGTGGTATTTTTATTTGTTGATTAGTTCATGCTTTCATTATTTCTCGTATGTGTTAACTTTGTTGTAAATCAAGTTCTGTGACATTGTCGGTATATTTCTAGAGTCTCTGTTGTGCTTCTTTGGTCTGTTTATCTTGTGTCAAGATGACGCTTGAATATTGTAACTTTATTGTAATAAGTCTTGATATCTGGAAGAGTAAATTCTCTCCTGTTTTTCTTTAAAAGTATCTTGGCTGTTCTTGGCCCTTTACATTTCCATGTGTGCTTTACAGTCACGTGGTCAGCTTCTACACACCAACCACTAACCACCAACAACCCTGCTGGACTTTTTTGGGGGTTAAATTTAATTTATGGAACAGTAAAATTGACATCTTTATAATAATGAGTTTTCTAATCCATGAAACTTACATATTACTTCATTTATATGTTTTAATTTCCCTTTGTATTTTATGAGTTTTGTGCAGATTTTTCATGTCATCTTGTTAGATTTCTTCCCAAGTTGTTGAAACTTTTAATTTTTGTAGGTACATAGTAGATGTATATATTTATGGGGCACACAAGATGTTTTGGTACAGGCATGCAATGCATAATAATCACATCATGGTAAGTGGGTTATCCATCCCCTCGAGCATTTATCCTTTGTGTTATGAGCAATACAATTATATACTCTCAGTTATTTTTAAATGTACAATTATTTTGACCCTGTTGTGCTATCAAATGAAACATTATTTTAGTATTATGTTTCTTAACTTTATTTTCTGTTTGTTTTGGCTAAACAAATACACAATTGTATTTGTTTTTTAAATATACTCACCTTATATCCAGCACATTTACTTATTAACTCTAATTATCAACTCTTTGGATTTCCTACATGCATAGTTTTTCATCTGAGAATAGAAGTTTTATTTCTTCATTTTTAATTTTTATACCTTTGTTTCTTTGTCTTGCCTTCCTTGACTGGATGGACCTCAGAACGGTGTTGATGCCATGATGTTGGGTGTCCCTGATGCAGTGGGAACTCTTTTTTGGTATTTCATCTTTAAATTTGATGCATGCTGTAAGGTTTTTGTTTTGTTTTGTTTTAAATTACTGGATCAACAAAGTGGTCTTCTAATCTTTGTTCACTAGTTTTTTGTTCTGTTTTGGTGTCAGATGCTTTTCTGGATCTGTTAAGAAGAACTTGAGCTTGCTCTGTTTTGTTGATGTGATGAATTTTATCAAATGGTTTTTGAATATTAAACTATTCTTTTATACTTGGAATAAACCTCACTAGGGTTGTAATGTGTTATCTTTTGATATATCATTGGATTGGGTGTGCTAATAGTTTGCTTAGAATTTGGCATTTTTGTGAGTGAGATGAATGACTTTTCATATAATGTTCTTGTCTGGTTTTGGTATCAAGGTTTTACTGGTCTCATTTTTTCTGTTTTCAGGAAGAGTTTTTGTAAGGTTGGTGCTTTTTAAAAGATTTTGGTAGAATACATTAGTGAAATCACTTGAGTCTGGTATATTCTTTTTTATGTATTTTTATCTTTTTTTTTTATTTTTTGAGATAGAGTCTCGCTGTGTCTCCCAGGCTGGAGTGCAGTGGTGCGATCTCGACTCACTGCAAGCTCCACCTCCCAGGTTCATGCCATTCTCCTGCCTCAGCCTCCTGAGTAGCTGGGACTACGGGCGCCCACCACCACGCCCGGCTAATTTTTTGTATTTTTAGTAGGACGGAGTTTCACCGTGTTAGCCAGGATGGTCTCCATCTGCTGACCTCGTGATCCACCCGCCTCAGCCTCCCAAAGTACTGGGATTACAGGCGTGAGCCACCACGCCCAGCCGAGTCTGGTATATTCTTTATCTAATACCTTTAATTGCAGATTCAATTTTCTTTAATAGTTGTAGTACTATTCTGATGTTTTAATTTTTTTATGTCAGTTTTAGTAAATTGTAGTTTTCTAGAGATTATAAGCTTCCTCTACACTTGAAAATTTATTTTACTATCATGCTGACCATAATATCCTCTTGTGATTAATATTTTAGGTTGTTAAACTATGTCTCTTTTGTTATTTCTATAATTGACTGTTTTGCCTCTCTTTTTCTTAGTCTCACCAGATACTTTCAGTTTTGTTAATTTGTCAATTTTATTTATTCTTAATTTTGTTTGTCTTTCTATTTCATATTTTCTGGTCTGCATTTATTTCCTTCTGCTTTCTATGGATTTAATGTGTTGTTCTAACTTTTTGAGATGGATGCCTAGTGTGCTTATTTTTCTGCCTTCCTGCTTTTTCAGTGGTGTAAGTGCATCGGATGTGTGTAGATTTTCTAATTTTTGAAATAATTGATTTTAGGCCAAATGTACTGTAGTCAGAGAATGTTTAGTTTTAGACCTTTGAAATTTGTTTAAGTATGATATACAGCTCAGCATTTGTTCAATTTTTGGAAGTATTTTCTGTACGCTTGTAGGGAATGTCTGTTATGTGACTTAATGTCTGTCTCATTTAGGTGAGATTGATTTAAATCGGGATGCTCAAGCTGCCTGCATTCTTAAAATTATTGTGCTATTCTTTTAAAATCTCCCACCATGATTGTGGGTTTGTTCATTAATCATTAGAGGTATATCCACATTTGCTTTAAACATTTGAAGCTGTATTTTTAGGTGCATACAAATTGCGCATAAAATTTGTTGCATTAAATTCTTCATAAAATTGTTTTGGTGCCTAAAAATTGTTGTTGCTGACAAATCAAATCCTTTATTGAGCATGTCTCCCTCAATGTGTAGTAATGCTTGTTTCCTAAATCTAGTCTGAGATTAACAATGTCAATACCAGCTTTCTTTGGTTAGTGTTAGCATGTTATATTTTTTGCCATTATTTTACTTCTAATCTTTCTGTGTCCTTATATTTCAGATGTTATAGGGACATACTGTTGGATTTTGTTTTTCAGCCAGTCTGGCAGTCTGTATTAGGCTGTTACTTGCGTTGCTATCAAGAAATACCTGAGACTGGGTAATTTATAAAGAAAAGAGATTTAACTGGCCCATCGTTCTGTGGGCTGTATAGGAAGTGTGGTGTGGGCATCTGCTTGGCTTCTGAGGAGGCCTCGGAAAGCTTGCAATCATGGCAGAAGGCGAAGCGGGAACAGGCACGTCACGTGGCCAAAGCAGGGATGGGGAAGGTGCCACACACTTTAAACAAGCAGGTCTTAGGATAGCTCATTGATTACCGCAAGATAACACCAAGCCATGAGGGGTCCACCGCCATGACCCAGACACCTCCCACTTGGCCTCACCTCCGACACTGGGGATTACATCTCAACATGAGATTTGGAGGGGCATCCAAACTATATCACAGTCTTTCTACTTACACTTAATGGAATTTCCAATACATGGGGGTTTGAATCTGCTCACTTTATTTGCTTTTTATTTGTTTCGCCTAGACTTTGTTCTTTTTCTTCTGGCATTCTTTGAGATCGTTTAAGAGTTTTATATGATTCCAGTTTTCTCCTCTGTTGATTTGGTAATTATATATATTTATATTATTTTAATGATTACCCAAATAATTATAACCTGTCTCTTGGCTTACTGATGTTTAGTAAAAATCCTTTGTTTTCTTTTAAATGTCTTACTTGGCATTCCAGGGATCACAAAATACTCAATTTACTCCATACTTAAAAAGCTTTTCTTGTATTATGTTTTATTTCTATACTTAACCCACTAAGATATGATGATGGTTTATAAATAACCAATATTTCTGATGTTTCATCTGAGATTAGTTTTCTTCTTAAAGAATATCCTTACTTTTTTTTTTTTTTTTAAGAGACTGCTGATAATGAATTTTGTTTGTTGTCTCTCTGAAATGTCTTTATCTCCCTGTTACTCTTGCTGTGTATGTTTGCTTGCTATAGAATTGTTAGGAGCAACTTTTAGCACTTTGAATGTATTTTTTCATGTCATTTCATTTTAAAAGTTGGCTGTTGGTCTTTTGTTATTTTTCTCTTTGGTTTTTATCCATCTTACTGTGATGTGCTTGGGTAGCTTTTGTTTTACCCTACAGTTTAGAGGAAAAATCTTTGAAATAATTTGAGGCTAAGGGAGATGATATCTTCCAGACTGGTTTTATGTCTGCTTCTGACAGGGAGCAAGGAACACTAGCAATTGCAGATCACTTTCATTCATTTATTGGAATCAAGCCGATTGGAGCTGAGCCTCATCCTTATGAGAACCAGTCAGATGCTGATTTACCTTTACAGCTGGAGTGCATCTCTTTGTCGTCTCATCCCAAAGCATGGATGTTTTACTGTGGTATCTTTCTCTCCCTCAAACATATACACACATGCACCTTCTCATCCCCCAGTGGGGGGATTGGCAGACTCAGTTTTTTATACCTGCATTCCCACAAGAACAACTTTGCTTAGCCTTTTCTTGAAGCAGCAGATACGCTTAGGGAACAGCATCCCCAGTGTTGGGCTTACCTCTCTGGGTTGCTTTCTTCTCTTAGATTTTGGCCCCATAAATTTACACGGCTTTTTAAGCTTGCTAGTCCTTTCAAAGATAAGTTTTTGCATATGCTATTCAGTTCTAATTGTTCCTAGCAGGAGGTTGGTTTGCTTTACTTAGTCTGCTATTACTGGAGGCAGAGGTCTTAACAATTATTTTTGTTGTTGTTGTTAAATAGTTTATGTTTCTTAACTGTTGGGCCCATTTCAGTTTTTTACTCAGGGTTCCTATTTATGTCTTGCTTATCAATAATTCTAACAGTTGAATGAAATTACCAAGAATTATACTTGTCGTCACAATGACTCAGTGGCTTTTCAATCTCAATATCTTAAGTTTTTAGTTTTAAATTATTATCTGATTCAATTTTACCATGTCTTTCATTCCTGATGATTTTTTAAAAACAAAGGTAATCAATTTGATAAATAACCTGGTACTATATAATTAAAGTTGATGGCAGCTGTCTTTTTCATTAGGATATTTAACTGGTATGCCCTTAATTTTTTTGTTGCCATTAAATCCTACATCGTGGTTATAAAGATCAAATTAGTACAGTAGCCCCCTCTTTTCCACAGTTTTGCCTTCTGCAGTTTTGGTTACCTGTGGTCAACTGTGGTGCAGAAATATTCAGTGGAAAAGTCCAGAAATAGTTCGTAAGTTTTAAATTATATGTCATTCTTAGTAGCATGATGAAATCTTCCCACCAACTTGCTCCATCCTGGTAGGATGTGAGTCTTTCTTTTGTCCAGCTTCTCTACCTGTATTCACTTGTTGCCTGTTAGTCACTTAGTAGTGTTTGGTGATCGGATCAACTCTAGTGATATTGCAGTGCTTGTATTAAAGTCACTCTTATTTCATATGGCCCCAAAGTGCAAGAGTAGTGTTGCCTGCAATTTGGATACACCAAAGAGAAGCTATCAGGTGCTTCCTTCAAGTGAAAAGGTGAAGGTTCTCGACTTAATAAGGAAAGAAAAAAAAGGCTGAAGTTGCTGAGACCTATGGTAAGAATGATCTTCTTTATGTGAAATTACAAAGAAGGATAGAGAAATTCATGCTTTGCACTCCAGACTTCAAACGTTCCAACCACAGTGAGTGATAAGTGCTTAGTTAAGATGGAAAAGGCATTACATTTGTGGGTGGAAGGTAGGAACAGAAACATGCTCTGATTTACGGCAGTTGGATTTGGTACTATCTGAGGTTTCAGGTATCCACTTGGAGGTCTTGAAATGCGTCTCCCAATGATAATGGGGGACTAATGAATGTTCATGAAACTGGGGTAAATTGATCTGATGTTTAATTTTCTCACTTCTAGGACACTTTCTTTATGAGCAACACACCCCAAAGATACAAAGACAAGCTACCAGACAGTGGCGATTCTGTGCTTAGGATCAGCACCATTGCGTCAGCCATTGCAGAGGCGTCAGTTAATACGGATCCTTCCCAACTTGCTGCTATGATCAAGGCACTTTCAAATAAAACCAGAGACAAGACTTTTCAGGAAGATGAGAAACAGAAGGACTGTTCTCACGTGTGTCATTTCTTACCTTATGATTTAGAAAAAAGTAGTGGATCCAATGTGTTTGATATGGAGAAGTACCTTAAAAAAACTGAAGTTAGTAGATACGAAAGTGCATTGGAAAACTTTTCAAGGACTGGTATGTCTGATACTTGGGATTTATCTTTGCCCAAAGAACAAATTACTCAAGACATTCGTTCAGTGGACTCAAGTGCTACTAGTGTAAGTGTGAGGGAACCAGAAGAAAACGCAGCAGCTATTGTTTATGTTGAAAATGGAGAGAGTGAGAGTCAAGAGTCATCTAGAACCGTGAACTCTTCAAATTCAGTTACAAATGTGAGAGAGAATAGCAGTGCAGTAGTTGACATGAAGACACGTTCCATTGACAACAAATTACAAGATGTTGGTAACAATGAAAAAACTACCTCAGTTTCCACTCCATCTGATAGTTATTCATCAGTGAGGAACTCCAGAATAACATCCCTTTGTCTGTTAAAAGAGTGTGAAGAAATACGAGATAGTAGAGAAAATCAGAGGCAAAATGAGTGTGTCAGTGAAATAAGCAACAGTGAGAAGCATGTGACTTTTAAAAACCATTGCATAGTCTCACCTAAAAATAGTGGTAAGTGTGTGAGTTGTTGGTCACATTCGTAAAATTACAAAGTGTATTTTCTCACTGGAAAATACCCCTTTCTGATAGATTTGAAAAATCTCTCTCCTGAGCATGGTGGACGTGGCTCAGAGGATGAGCAGGAGAGCTTCAGACCTTCCACATCACCACTGAGTCATTCTTCTCCCAGTGAAATTTCCGGAACAAGTTCATCAGGGTGAGTGTGTACCTTCTTTTTAAAAAAATAAAAATAAAAATTTGTGCTCAGTACAGGAAATTGGGGAAAAAATGTGTAAAGAAGAAAAATTACTCATCTATGCATTCATCTCTCAAAGGTAACTCTTGTAAGCTGTGAATTTTTTTCTGGCTATTTTTCTATGCAAATTTTTATATACTGCTTTTTCTTTTACTCATTATAACAGTCATTCTCTGAATTTAAAAGAAAACTAGTAATGTTACAGACTACCTAATGGATCTGTCGTGGTTCATTTGATGCTTCTGGTGAATACTTTATATCTTAACTTTTGCTATCTAAATGATATTGCTATCTAAATGAATAACTTTGTTTATAAAATTTTAATTTTATGAATGTCTTTTGTGGCTTTATAAAAGATCTTTTATGTGTTTATTGAAAGAGTGTAATAAATGGAAAAATTTGCCTAACCAGCAAAATTATCAAATATGTTAAATATAGTTTTGATTTGTTTCAAAATATCGGATTTCAAAGATACCTATTAGCTGTTTCCCAAGGTGCCGTTAAAGTTTTTCATGTTCATCTGAAGCGACATGGTATGGTCCAGCTGGTGCTAAATGTCAGTGGAAAGCTGAGTTCTTTCTGTGACTCCTTATGGATGCCTCAGTTTGAAACACTTTCATATACACAGTCACTTCTTATTTAATAGTTGATTGCCTTTTTTTTTTTTTTGAGATGGAGCCTCACTCTGTGGGCCAGGCTGGAGTACATTGGTACAATCTTGGCTCACTACACCCCCTGCCTCCCGGGTTCAAGCAGTTCTCCTGCCTCGGTCTCCCGAGTAGCTGGAACCACAGGCACATGCCGCCTTGCCTGGCTAATTTTTATATTTTTAATAAGAGATGGGGTTTCACCATGTTGGCCAGGCTGGTCTTGAACTCCTGACCTCAGGTAATCCACCTGCCTCAGCCTCCCAAAGTGCTGGGATTACAGGCATGAGCAACTGTGCTCGACCTGCATATTTTAACAGATGTATTACTAGTCATCCAGCCCAAAGCAAATTTGAAGATGATCTGGCTGTGATACGGTGTAGTATGTTTACAATCTTTGGCTTACACGTTCTTCCCTTATGTTTCTTACCGGTATTGCTTTACTCTCCCTATGGAAGACTAGAGGGATATCTGAGACTAGCCTGATTCTTTTTGGCTTTGAATTGACTTGATGTTTTTGCAAGTTTTTGCCAAAATTCTTTATTTTTCAAGTCTAATAATTGTATTAGACTATATGTCTGTGTTGATTCTTCATTGTTACTTTGCTCTATCATCATACAGTATACCCTTTCAGTATGTCTCCCCTTTTATTTTGCATGTGTTCTTGCAGTTCACTTTTCATTATTTTAGGTAATTTCACCTAAATGCATTTGTTCTTGTTAACCAAAGGAGTCAAATGAATACAACACATCATCCAGTGACTCAGAACATTTTCCGTGCTATATCATGCTGTGTGTATGTGTTTGTGTGTGTGTGCGTGCGTTTGTGCGGGTGTGCATGTGGATACAGAAACCCATGTAGGTGCATGTCATGGGGGAGCTAGAGAAGGCCTGAAGCAGTTTGGTAGGTAATACTTTGTTGCCATTGGTTAGAAACTTACTGACTGGTGTTTTGACAATACCATCTTGATTTGGGACTTTTTACTTTTATTTTTATTTTTATGAGACAGAGTCTTGCTCTGTGCCCAGACTGGAGTGTAGTGGTGCAATCTCGGCTCACTGCCAGCTCTGCCTCCCGGTTCACGCCATTCTCCTGCCTCAGCCTCCTGAGTAGCTGGGACTACAGGCGCCTGCCACCACGCCCGGGTAGTTATTTATTTATTTATTGTTATTATTTTTTTGAGACAGAGTCTCACAGTCTCGCCCAGGCTGGAGTGCAGTAACGCGATCTCGGCTCACTGCAAGCTCCACCTCCTGGGTTCATACCATTCTCCTGCCTCAGCCTCCCGAGGAGCTGGGATTACAGGCGCCCGCCACCAAGCCCAGCTAATTTTTTTGTATTTTTAGTAGAGATGGGTTTCACCATGTTAGCCAGGATAGTCTCAATCTCCTGACCTCGTGATCTGCTTGCCTTGGCCTCCCAAAGTGCTGGGATTACAGGCGTGAGCCACTGCGCCCAGCCCACACCTGGCTAATTTTTTGTAGTTTTAGTAGAGATGGGGTTTAACCATGTTAGATAGGATGGTCTCGATCTCCTGACCTCGTGATCCACCTGCCTCGGCCTCTCAAAGTGCTGGGATTACAGACATGAGCCGTGATACCTGGCCAATTTGGAATTTTTTAAAAGTTCAGAATTCAAATTTGAATTTTCCATGTGCGTCCATTGCCTAGCTGAGTATTCTGAACTTTGTACAAAGAAGAAAGATGGTGGAATCCAGTCAAGTGAAGGGCTGAATTCAAGCTAACCAGCAGAGCATAGGTGTGGAGACTGTTTCCAAAGGTGGCTTGACGCTTATTTCCTATCCCCTGTGCTCTTTTGCACTGTGACTGTGCCGCTTTCCCTCAAGAGGTGCAGTCCGTTTCCCGCTCCTTGCGTCTCGGCTGGCAGCCCTGTGAAAGATGCTAATGAACAGAATAATGAGGAAGTGACCCTGGTGTGTTTGCAGATAGATGTGAGACTCTCTGTTTGTCGCTTTCTGATCTTTTCATTTCACGTTGTATAGCAGGGACATCTTTCTGAACCAAGGCTGGAACAGCATGCTTTTGAATGGCTGCATAGTGTTGTATTGCATGTTTGTGCTCTAACTTCTGTAGCTCACTTCCTCCTGGGGAATCGGATCTAAGATTTCCCACTTATTGTCCACAGTGATGTGATGACATGTCCTTTTTGTGAAGTCTTTATATTTATCATTAATTTTTTTTCTCAGGATAAATTCCTAGATGTAGAATATCTTGAGTCAAGAGGCCTTTGATATATACTGCTTAATTGCTCAACTGAAAGTTGTACCACTTGATAGTCCCACAGTGGTGTGTGACTGTTCCCATTTCTTTGCATTTATCTGCGTGATTTTTTTTTTCCTCTTTGCTCGTTGAGGGTTGGAATTCTTCTGTTCATTTCTCTGTATGAGATAGTTAGTAAATTTTTATAGAATGAATAGCTAACGTTGCTGTGTGTCTTTATATGGTATTTATTAATGAAATGCCACAATACATTTTACAGTTGCTTAACAGAGGCTTCATTCAATGGGAATATTTTTTATAGTTTTAGATAATTAAGTGTAAACCTTGAATTCGAGGTAGAGTTATTTGCAAGATTATAGGCTCATAGGAATGGTTTTTTGCTTATGTAGATAGTTGAAGGACTGGAGAACTGCAGGTGTGAGCTCCTCTTCTCTTTCAGGTGTGCGTTAGAGTCCTTTGGTTCAGCAGCTCAGCAGCAGCAGCCTCCCTGTAAGCAGGAGTTGTCTCCCTTGGCGTGCTCGCCTGCTGGGGTGAGCAGGCTGACGTATGTGTCTGAACCAGAGAGCTCCTGTCCTGCCACAACCACAGATGATGCCCTGGAGGACCGCAAGGTGGGCAGCCACTTGGATTATTTGTTACTAAGGCTTTTAACTCTTAAAAGTGTTACAGATGTTTGATTCAGACAACAATTCAAGCCTATATAACTTCTGTGTTGCTCTTTTACCTTTAAAATGATTTTTGTATTCGTGTGCACATATTAAATCCCTACTCATGCTAGTAGGCACAGAGGTACAAACATTTTAGGATCTGCCCTGGAAGAGCTCTGTCTGGTGAGGCACACTGTGTAATGAAGTGCGTCATGCTGCGCGTGTACTGTGGGGACTCAGAAGGTGGTGGTTGGAAGTCTCACTGCCTTTGCTTCAGCAAAGGTTTCTGCAGGGATAAATACACTGAAGCCACACTTTGCCCGACTGCTAGGAGTTAGGCAACAGGGAAGCAGAGTTAACACATGGGGAGGTGGAGAGTTGTAAGATGCAAACTGATCTGAGGCACTCCGGGAAGTTTAGAACAGCCACAGGGAATCATGTCAGTGGGGACAAGTGGATGAGGCTGGAAGAGGGGAGACCAAACTGGGAAGGGTGCTGGGTTTAAAACATGGGAGTTTGAAGGCTTTTAAGCAGGTCACTGTCATGATCTGTTTTGATTTCATTTTGTTTGTGTATTTTTTAGAGATGATCTCGCTCTGTCACCCAGGCTGGAGTATGGTGGCACGATCACAGCTCACTACAGCCTAGGACTCCTGGTCTCAAGTGATCCTCCTGCCTCAGCCTCCCAAGTAGCTGGGACTACAGGTGTGCACTGCCACACCTGGCTAATTTTTCATTTTTTTTGTAGAGACAGTGTCTTGCCATGTTGCTCAGGCCGGTCTTGTACTCCTGGGCTCAGGTGTTCCTTCTGCCTTGACCTCTCAAGTAGCTGGGACTACAGGTGCCTACCACCACACCTGGCTAATTAAAAAAAATTTTTTTAGAGGTGGGGTCTTGCTGTGTTGCCAGAGCTGGTCTTGAACTCCTGGCCTCAAGCGGTCTTCCTGACTTGGCCTCCCAAAGTGGTGGGATTACAGGCATGAGCCACCAAGCCCAGGCTGGTTTGATGTTTTAAAAGCTCACTCCAACAGCCATGAGGAAGGAGGGACCAGTAGGAGCAAAATTAAAATCGGAGATTTGACATGAGACCACTGTAGTGGTTTAGGCAAGAGACAGTGGATGCTTGGGCCAAGACAGTAACAGTGGGGATAGAATAGAAGAAGATCAGAGAGAGTTATGTGGGAGAAGCTAGTGTTACCTGTTTTTGTGTGTGGAATTGTTCAGTTTTTTAATGAGCTGACTGACTGCTGTGGGTATGCTGCGTAGTCTTCCTCCACCAAGCTGCTGGAGAGTTACTGAATGCACAGCACAGTGTTAGGGTGTTACACCCCTTCCTTTGAAAGCTGTCTTTTTCGTGTCGTTGTTAGATACTGAGTCTGCGTGTTCTTAGCATAGTGGTTGAGAGCTGGGTTATGGTGTCAGATAACTTATCTTCTGCTGCCTCCTCAGACAGATTACTAAACCTCCCTCAACCTGTTTCTTCATCTGTAAGGAGGAATAGTATGTGAGGTCAGTGCTTGTCACCTAGTAAGTCACCACGGGATACATATTATTAGTTATTATTACTTGGCAAATAATATAGTCTTTGTTTCTTAGTGTCTTTATTTCTGAAGCTTTGGCCAGGAGAAATTTATAAACCAAGTACCAGAGCAATCAGTGAAGGGTACGTTTGTCTAGTTGTAAATTTCAGCTGGTCTGTCCTGCAGAGCTGCAGATGTCACTCCTCAGATTATGCATTATGTACAAAGAAATGAGTGTGGACGTTTACCAGGACTGTTAACTTCATGCTTCATAGAGCCATACAAGTTTAGAAATGGGAGAGGACTTAGAACACATAAAAGTTAACATCTTTGGCCGGGCGTGGCGGCTCATACCTGTAATCCCAGCACTTTGGGAGGCTGAAGCAGGCAGATCACCTGAGGTCAGGAGTTCAAGACCAACCTGGCCAACATGGTGAAACCCTGCCTCTACTAAAAATACAAAGAAATAGCTGGGTGTGGTGGCGGGCCCCTGTAATCCCAGCTACTTGGGAGGCTGAGGCAGGAAAATGGCTTGAACCCGGGAGGCGAAGGTTGCAGTGAGCTGAGATTGCGGCATTGTACTCCAACCTGGGCAACAAGAGGGAGACTCTGTCTCAAAAAAAAAAAAAAGTTAACATCTTTGAGTGTTCAAGCCCAGGCAGTAGCATGGACAGATAGTGGAGTGGGGCCCTGCCAGCCTGCTGAGCCGCCGCCTGACCTCAGAGTCGTTATCATTTCAAGCTTGCTCGGCCCCCACTCCTTCGCTACTAATTTATTTAGATTTTTATTGTAAAGTTTATAGAAATCCCTTAAATCCTCAAAAAGTTACTAGACTCTAGTCCTTTATCTGTGCAAAATTTTCAGATATTCTTAGTGTATACCTATTTTCCTCATAGTATAATTCCTTTTACAAAACAACAAACACACATTTTCTAATGTAAGTCTGCATTTCACAACTGCAAGACTACTATTTTTGTGTAAAACAATTTTTTTTCAAAGAGAAGCCTCATGCACATCTCTTTGTTACTTGAGCTTTTACCAGCATGGTTTCAATTTGTTGTATTAAGTTTATCTGTGGATTATTAAAAACAAATTTTCTTGCACTCAGAGTAATATCACCAGTGAGTTAAGTACCACAATTATTCAAGGCAGTCCAGCCGCATTGGAGGAACGGGCTATGGAAAAATTGAGAGAAAAAGTTCCATTTCAGAATAGAGGAAAAGGAACATTATCATCTATTATCCAGAAAAACTCTGATACAAGAAAAGCAACTGAAACCACTTGTCTGAGTAGCAAGGCTGAATCTGTAAAACCTGACTTTAAATGGAGTAAAGATCCCTCCTCCAAAAGTGGAAATCTGTTGGAAACCAATGAGGTAGGTTTGACATCAAACCCTGAAGAAGTGGACCTGATCAGGCTGGCTCTCCTGGGCAAGTCAGGTCTGAGCTGTCAGGTGGGGTCAGCCACATCACGTCCTGTGTCCTGCCAGGAGCCTGTAGATGAAGATCAAAGAATAATTCCTAAAGATAAGTCAACTGCTGGCCGTGAGTTCGGGGGCCAGGTTTCTCATCAGACCACCTCTGAAAACCAGTGCACTCCTGTTCCCAGCAGCACAGTTCGCGGCTCTGTGGCTGACATGCAGAACGTGCCTGCTGCTGTGCACGCACTCTTGGCGCAGCCCTCTCTCAGCACAGCTCCCTTTGCTCAGCGGTATTTGGGAACGCTCCCTTCGGCCGGAAGCACCACCTTGCCTCAGTGTCATGCTGGCAGCGCCACAGTCTGTGGCTTCTCAGGAGGCCTCCCCTACCCAGCCGTCGCAGGAGAGCCTGTGCAGAGCTCGCTGGCTGTGGGGATTTGTCTGGGGTCAAATATCGGCTCTGGATGGACGGGCCCCTCTTCCCTCTGTAACCCGTATTCTAATACTTTAAATCAGAACCTGCTAAGCACAACAAAACCTTTTCCTGTGCCGTCTGTTGGTACCAACTGTGGAATTGAACCATGGGATTCAGGAATGACATCAGGATTGGGTAAGATGCTCTTTCTCTGTTTTGTTGCTTGGTATTATTTTCTCAAATGACACCACAAAGCTGGTTTGTTCCAAGGAGTTAGTGGTTAGCATTAATTCCTTGTAAGTTTTGTGCTTCTTCCTAAACTGAGAACACCATATATTTCTGTGCAAGCGTCCCTGAAGTTGGCTTAGAAAAATGCTACACTTATGCAGGTGACAGGCTGCCTATGGCTCTGCCCTCCTCGTCT